AGCTTCATTTGAGTTCAACATGAATGATATAAGCAGTTTCATGTCTGTGTTCCACTTACATTATTTAAATTTCTGTGCTTCAATCGACGTCTGGAATAATCTGCTGGCGGTGGAGACCCTCTGCTCTGGTTCCCGGGAGCACTTGGATGCTCTGGACTGTCTGCTTGGAGGGTTACGTTTAATTGCTTCGCCCTTTCTCCCTCCCTGAGTATTTTTATCTATTCTCACCAAAAGGGATGAGAAGTGTACCTCTGAAACTATCCATGGAAAAAAGTCCATAATATGTCTTCCCACTCATCCCCAGCCCCCATACACAAACTTTGTATCCAACTATTTCTTGTTAGCTCGCATTTCGACTCCTCCTGTGCTGTTAGGAAAGATGTGGATTTATGTAGCTGCCTTCACAACATCAGAACCTCCCACAATGCTTTGCACCCATTGCAAGAGTTTTGAAGTGCAGTCACCGGTTGTAATGTAAGAGAGGCAGTGGCTAATTTATAGACAGCAAAATCCCACCATCAGGATTGTGATAATGATCAGATAAGAACATAGGATGATCCTGTTCCACCATTCAGTGCAATCATTGGAGTTATAGTAATGTTGGCCAAGGGTTAAAGGTTGACCAGGGCACCCTTGCCCCACACTGTGGCTATGTTTTTTGCTGCCTAGGTCATGATCCAACATACCAAGCCCTTCTAATATTTTCTGCTTTGACTTGGCATTCATTTTTGCATGCTCCCTTTAAAATTGTTTACATAAAGCATAGATTGTATAGTGATTGCTGTCAGACAGTCGCTGCAGCAAGTGACTGGGGTGGCAACTGAAAAAAAAAAGCTTTAATAACTTGGAAATTTAAGCATTTTAATGAGGCAGCTGTAGGGATGAAACCTCCTGCCTGCTGGAAACTATTTTCTTTCATAAAATCTATATGACATGCACGTTGCTGTTAAACAGGAGACTTAATTCATGGAACAAAAACAAATTTGCCGGAAAAGCCCAGCAGGTTTGGTAGCATCTGTGAAGGAGAAAACAGAGTTAACGTTTCGGGTCCGGTGACCCTCAGAACCCGGACCCGAAACGTTAACTCTGTTTTTTCCTTCATAGATGCTGCCAGACCTGCTGGGCTTTTCCAGCAACTTTGTTTTTTTTCCTGATTTACAGCATCCGCAGTTCTTTTGATTTTGACTTAATTCATGGAGAGGCAGTGGGCAGTATTGTCATTTTAAAAGGAGCCAAATATTTTTTCTCTGTGCTTTGTTAATTCTTTCTTTGAATGTGAGTGTCAGTGGGAAGGGCAGCCTTTGTTGCTCCTCTTCTAATTGCCCTTGTGACTGTGGTGGTGAGTCACTTTCCTGAAACACTGCAGTCAATCTGGTGTAGGCACACCCACAGCGCTGTTAAGAAGGGAGTTCCCTGATTTTGACTCAGTGACTGTGAAAGAATGATAGTATGGTTCCAAATCAAATATGTGTGTGGCTTGGAGTGGAACTTGCAAACTGGTGATATTCCCATGTGTCTGCTTCCCTTGTCCAGTGGGAGTGATCGCAGGTTTAGAAGGTTCTGTTGCAGGATCCTTGTCAAGTTGCGACAGTGCATCTTGTAGATGCTATGCACTGTTGCCACTGTATGTTGATGGTAGAGCTAGTGATTTTTTTAAGGGTTATGGATGTCTTCAAAGCAGTACTGAAAAGATCCCTGCTGACTAATGGGAGCCCGGCTTGTAACGCACCAAAATAGAGAATTTTTTTTAGAAAGGCACAGAACACATTGAGAAACTTTGTCAGGTGGAGACTTTGGAGACAGTGCATAAATTCCCAAATGTGTCATTTGCCCAAACCTTCAGGCACCACCAGCCCAACACGTGGCAGAGTCTGCAGATCATGCATCGGGTTTATCAGCCAACGTAAAACCAATTGAACCAGAATAGAAGGAAATCACCTTGGATACTGAGGGATAACACAGTGTGGAGCTGGAGGAACACAGCAGGCCAGGCTGCATCAGAGGAGCAGGAAAGTTGACATTTTGGGTCGAGACCCTTCTTCAGGGATTTTCTGAACTTTCCTGTTCTTCTGCTGCCTGGCTTGCTTTGTTCCTCTAGCTCCACACTGTGTTGTCTCTGACTCCAGCACCTGCAGTTCTTACTATCTTTGGATACTGAGGGATTGCCTAAGAGAAAAAGCAATAAATGTTGAAGATGGCAGATGGGATGCCAGTTGGGTTGGCTACTTTGTTTTGGATGGCATTGTTGAAACCGCCTTCTTCTGGGCAAGAAGAATATATTCCATTACATTCCTGATTTGAGCGAAGTAGTTGGTGGACAGGCTTTGGGAAGTCAGGAAGTGAGTTCTTTAACCCGAATTCCCAGATTCTGATGTAGCCACAGGATTAATATTGTTATAACTAGGTGAGGAGAGGTCATAGCTCCACTCTTTATTTTCTAATTCATGTGATCAGTTGCAACAATTTTTGTTATTTTAAAGCACATAACAACCACACTTCAATCAAGTTTAATTAACTAGATTAAGAATGATGGAGAGCAAATTCCAAGGTTTTCCTGAGTGCAAAAGAGTGTTTTATTATAAAAATATAATAAAGCATGACATTATACAGGTACACAAATGCAGAGCTTGCAAAAAAGGTGAGGGCAGGGAGAGGTATGTAGTACAGACAGGAAAGTAAAGGCAAATGCAGTTACAGATTTTAAGAGTCCCTTGGGTTGTGAGAATGAAAATATGAGCGTCCAACTCTTTAACCATTGTCTTTTTTCTTTATCAATGACACATTTTTCAGAGCTTGGATACTCAGTGAATCAATTTTGAGTTTCTTTCTCATCAACGCCTGTTTGTGGGACTGAGATTGAATGAAGGAGAGAGAAGAGCTTCCAGTGTACTTGCCGTTATTAGTGTACATTGCTTTTTCTCTGTCTCTTTGCTCAAAAGCTGCTGTTGATATACCATTCCTTTACAGATGTTGGTGTATTTGTCATTGTTTCATTCCAAATTGGCTAGTTGTGGGCAACATTTCATCTCTGAGTATGTATAACTATCGTGCAAATGCGCGTAAAACACGAGATGCAAATTTCTTGATATCTCATTGAATTTCAGTGCCTCTTGATTAAAATGGTATTTCCAATGCAGCCAGTTTTGTGTATTCCACTTAAATTCCCTGAGGTTGTCAGGTGATCACAGCAGCCAATCTAGGTCAGCAGTGTCCTTTTTAAAACCATTTTTACTTCATGAAAGTTTCATGCATTAAATTCAAATTATGGAAGTTGAATGTTGATGGTCCATTTTCACTATGATCATAACAGTATGGTTCTTCCAATTCAGTGTCTGATCAATGGTAAACTAACCCCACCCTATTTCAGGATGTTGATAGTGGGGGATTCAGTAGTGGTAATGCTGAGGAAACATGGTTACACACTCTCTGTTTGGGGCTGGTCATTGTCTGAAACTTGTGTGGCACAGGAATTAATTGCCACTTATCTGTTAGCCCAATGTTGAATGTTGTCCAGGCCACGGACTGCTTCAGAATCTGAAAAGTCTCAAATGGTATTGGACATTGTGGAACACTTTATACATGTTTATATGCTCTACGAGCAATGAAATCTGTATCTTTTTACTTCCTCCCTCAGTACTGCTTGTCTGGTCATCCGACATTGCCATGTAATGTCTTGAAGTTCAAATCAACCACCATTATGCTCGACTGTGGGTTAGACATGACCTCAGCCCTTCATTTCTTACCTTTGCCACTTGTCCACAGGTAAGTGTCTCCGATTGAATTTCCCAATATTTCTAGTGTGATTTAAACTGGCATTTAGAAATATCTCTAATGTCTTTCGTCTTAAGTATCGATTTTTGGATTTTGATGTACTAACAGATTTTTCTTTGTGTCTGAAGGGTTAATAATTAACCTGTGTTTCTGTAGCAATGGTGATATTTTTAAAACTGATTGTCTGGAAACTCGTCCTCACAATGATTTTTATTTACCTTCAGATGATTTACAACCTAGTAGGAAATTGCCTCAAGAACTTTGGTAGAAATTTCTGGACTTGTTCTTTTTAAGGTTAGGGGAAACACCCGTAGCTTAGAGATTTTTTTCAGTTTTACTTTGTTTTGGCTGGTTCTGCAGAAGTTTCTATGTGTAAAGTTGCTCCCGAGAAAGGGAGAAGGTAGTTAGATTTGCTAACACTACATTACCTTCGAGTTAGGTGTTAGTGATGGTTCCAGACTGGAATTGTTTTGATAAAACTCTGAAGAGGTTACTTGAAGCTGACAATATTTAAGCTCAGATGTGTGATAGCTCCAGGAAGAAGCATTAAGCTTTTCCAGGTTGAGAATTGGAGTCAAACCCATTGAAGTGTTGGAGAAAGGAATTTTCTGGTGTGAATAATGTACAAGGGATGCTTATGGGTATCATAGAGGTGTTTTGGGATCTGTAGAGGAGTGTTTTTGGGATTAATGGCATTGTATTTGGGAGCTTCAAAATCTGTCATCTCAAATCTTGTGTTCTAAGGAAATGGTCTGGATTATTCTATTTTACCTCTATTCCTTTTGCTTAGTATACTTGTTTTATTGTGAATGACAAATCTGCAACATCGCATGCTTATATTTCAATGAGAGAGCAACTTGTTAAAAACCAAATGAAAACAAAACAAACATATGACCCAACAAGCCAGATTTCAGTCTAGAATCTGGCTTGACCAGTAATGGCATCAATTAACACTGGGTAACATTTAAAATTATGAACCACGGACGATTTATTGTTATGCAAATATACTGCTTGATGTAAAGTTGCAATAGGTATCCTAAAAATAGCCCAGATTAAAACTGCAGTTTGTGCCAAATTATCTTAGCTAAATTGGGGTAATGATAAGGATGGAACATTCGTTATCCTAGGCTCTGAATAACAAAATCAACGTGCATCCTGCTGCTGATCTGATCACTGGAGTTATGGGACATCACTACACATTTTTATAATCATATGTGCGTAAATCCTGTATCTCCTGCATCCATTTCCCCCATTACACCCCAAACATTAGCTTGACATTGCTGTTGTTTCAGTGGAATTGGACAAAACCTCCTTCATTTTGCTAGAGCTGGAGCTGCCTTCAGTGGCAAAGTTCGGTGTTCAGTTTTTGTGACAGCGGCACATGAGATCAAATGGCGCAAGCATGTACAGGGGCAAGAAATGCTAGTTCAAAATGGGAAGCAAGGAGAATGCTCCATCTAACCTCCCGAAGAGAGTGGGAAATAACTTTGGGAGGCAAATGAACAATAAAATGAAGTAATTGACCAATCAGAGCTTAAAAATAAATCCACTGTGCTCTGGAATGTCTACAAAAGAAAGAATGGAAAATCAATGTAATTTCACTCATCCGGTCTCTCCTGCATACATTCTCCCAATTATACCTCAAAGTGACCTTGCTCCTGTCTGACATTGCTACTGTTTTGGTAGGATTGCACCATGTGGACAAATATCCTTTATTTTGCAAGAGCTAGACCGGTCTTCAGCAGTGAAGTTCCACCCCATCCCCTCCTAAATCTGGAACCTCTCTTGTGTGGAAATTGTGATGAATGGAGTAGGTTCAAATATAACATTTTGCTTGGTCAGGTTTGCTGATCTTTACTAGCTAGGCTTGCATCTGAAAATGGATAGAATGATGAACAGGCAGAGACTAGGTGCTGTCCCAAATAATCATGAAGCGACTGAGCATCATGCTTTTCCATCGTACTAACAACCCATTAAGAACGTTTAACAAATCCAAACCTATTTCAGGGGAAACATTCAAAGAAATTCCTGAAGGTGATCACACAAATATCAAAAGATCACAGTGATCTTGTTATCCTTCCCATGCATCCCCACCACCTTTTAACTATGGTAGTATTAACCACAGCAACGAACTTGGTCATTTTGAGTTGTTGAAGTGCAGCCACATGTTGATGTATATTCTGATCTGACACTTTCATAGATTATACACAGGACTCCTTGTTTTGTGTAGACTGTCCAATTTGAGTAGACTATCCACACAGATGTAGTCTGTTACCTTAATAGCATGAAATAATTCAGTTAAATCACTTAGAAGTTGCCCTTTGCAGTACCTCATTGACTTTGAAAGTATAGAATTGTAGTATAGTGCAGCAAATCAAACCTGTGTGAGGAAGTGTGGTCATGCCTTGTTCATTCTCTCTCTTTTCTTTCCACTGACCTTCATTTTTCTGCATTCATGGGATGTGGGCAATTTTTCCCATTCCTAATTGGCCTTGAGAAGGTGATGGTGGTGGTGAGCTGCTTTCTTGAACCACTGCAGTCAATGTAGCACTGGTGCACCCACCATACCATTACATAAGTAGTTTCAGGATTTTGACCCTGTGACAGACTGAAGTAACCACAATATGGTTCCATGTCAGGGTGGTGTGTTCTTATGCAAAGGTTACTCTTTGTTCTCCTAGATTATAGTGGGTGTGGATTTGGAAGGTGTTGACTATGGAGCTTTGGCAAACTGCTGCAGTGCATCTTGTAGATGTTTGTGCAAAGCTACTGTTTGTTAGTAATGATGGAGTGTCAATTCAGCGTTTAGTGGGAGATGGTGTGGTGATGGTCATGTCATTGGACTAATAATCCAGAGGCCCAGGTCTTGGGGAATGAGTTCAAATTCTCACAGCAACTGGTGGAATTTGTTTTCATTGAATAAAGCTGACAGTGATAGCTTGTCTCAGTGATGAAAGTAAGACAGATTGATTTGATTTATTGTCACATGTACCGAGAAACATGTGAAAAGTATTGGTTTGCATGCTAGCCAGACAAATCATACCTTACATCAGTCCGTTAGGGTGATCAAACAGAATGCCAAATATAGTGTTACAGCTACAGTGAAGGTGCAGAGAATGATCAACTCTAGTATATGAGAGGTCTGTTCATAAGTCTGATAACAGTGAGGAAGAAGCTGTTCTTAAAGCTCTGTTACATATTTTCAAACTTTTGTATCTTCTTCCCGATGGAAGAGGGTGGGAGGGGTGTTTAATTATGTTGGCTGCTTTCCCAAGGCAGTGGGAAATGTAAATGGAGTTAATGGAAGGAAGGCCAGTTTTTGTGATGGACTGGGCTGCATTCACAATTCTCTGTAATTTCTAGTGATCTTGGGCAGAGCAGTTGCCATACCAAGCTGTGATGCGTCTGGATAGGATGCTTTCTAAGGTGCATCTATAAAAATTGGTAAGAGTCATGGTGGACATGCAGAATTTCTTTAGCTTTCTGAGGAAGAAGAGGTGTTGGTATGCTTTCTTGACAATTATGTCAACATGGTAGTACCAGGATAGATGGTTGGTTATATTTATTCCTAGGAACTTGAAGCTCTCAACCACCTGCACCTCAGTTTCATTGATACAGACAGGGGTGTATCCTCCACTCCACTTCCTGAAGTCGAAGACCAGCTCCTCCTCTTTGCTGGCATTGAGGGAGAGATTGTTGTTTTTACACCATGCCACTAAGCTTGTCCGTCCTTCCTGTACTTTGTCTTGTTGTTGTTTGAAATCCAACTCAGTACAGTGGTGGCATCAGCAAAATTGTAATTGGAGTTAGAGCTGAATTTGGCAAACAGTTGTGAGTGTATAGGGAGTATAGTAAGGGGCTGAGCACACAACCTTGCGGAGCACTGGTGTTGAGGATTATTGTGGAGGAGGTGTTTTTGCCTATCCTCACTGATTGTGGTCTGCAGGTGGGGAGTCATGGATCCAGTTGCAGAGGGGTGAGCGGAGTCCTAGGTCTCGGAGTTGAGTTTTCTTGGAATTATGATGTTGAAGGTGGAGCTCAAGTCAATAAATAGGAGTCTGACGTAGCTGTCCTTGCTATCCAGATGTACCAGGGATGAGTGTAGGGCTAGGGAGGTGGCATCTGCTGTGGACCTATTGTGATGGTAGGCAAATTGTAGTAGATCAAGGCAATCTGGGAGGCTGGCGTTGATGTATGCCGTTACTAACCTCTCGAAAGAACTTCATAATGTTGGATGTCAGAGCCACCAGACGGTCGTCGCTAAAGCACGTTGTCTGATTTTTCTTTGGCACCGAGAGGAAGCAGGTGGGAACCTCACATCATAGTAAAGAGGGGTTAATGACGTCTGCAAGTACTCCCACCAGCTGGTCCTCAAAGGATCTGAGTGCGTGGCCGGGGTCTCCATCCGGGCCAGTCACTGTCCATGGGTTCACCCTCAAGAAGGCCGATCTGATGTCTGCAGTGGTGACAATGGGTACAGGTGCACCCGATGCTGTCAGGGGAGGTGACGTCATTTCACTGACCTTCTGTTCAAATGAACATGGAATACATTGAGCTCGTCGGGGAGGGATGCATTGTTGTCAGTGATTCTACTCGACATCATTTTTGTTGTGAAAACCTAGTTCACCAATGACTTTCAGGAGAGGAAACCTGCCATCTTCACCTGGCCCAGCCTATACCTGACTCCAGAACCAGAACCAGAACCATGTGGTTGACTTTCAACTACCTTATTAAATGGCCTGGAAAGTTACTCAGTTCAAGGGAAGTTAGAGATAGGCAACAAATGATAGCCTTGCCAGTAATGCTCATGTTCAATGACAGAAGGAAGGAAAATCAGACTGTCCTGGATGGTGTCACAAACTATATGGTGCTGGAGGTGTCAAGAGTATTCCAACACAATCCTGACTTGTGCCTTTTATTGATGGTGCACAGACTTAAGGGAGTCATGAGGTTTTATTTGCCACAGAATTCCCAGTCTCTGACTGCATGATAACATTTATAAACAGCCTTTTAAATATGGTTGGGCCTGTTCATTATCTGGTCAATGCTTGTATTAAGAGACCTTGATTCATTACAATAGCGATGAAAATATTTTGATTGTGGCAATTTTTTTTTTCCTCCCCCAGCCCAAGACTTTCCAAACTCCCAGGCTGGATTTCGAAAGATGGTAATACCATGCTAGAAAAGGTAAAGTAGGACCACTTCACTGTACAAGTATGAGAAATTTATTCTGAATGTTGATCATAATTGTTCACAGTTCTGTTGCAGTAAATAATAGATTTGTCTTTCTTAGAATTACTTATCTCCCCTCCCATCATCTGTCCTTCCTGCCACGATTGTGACCTGCAGATAATACTATGCAGTTCCCGGTGTCTTATTTGCAGTTCAAAACCTGGTGTTTCCTTTATCTTTATTACATATTAGTGCAATCTCCAAATCGTCATTGTCTCTGTTTTAAAATAATTGTAGCAAGAGCCCCAATCTCTTGTTACAACTCACTTAGGAAAGTGTGCTGATCCTACAGCCCAAAAGTTAAAAGTTGAGTCAAAGTCCCCAATTTACCTGTTTAATGGACTCTGTTTAATAAAAAGCACTAACCAGATTTCTGGACTTATAAAGACTATTTATTACAAATATATTTTGTTAACCTGTGGTTAGAATTGTTTTGAACTATCAACCTATAATACTACTGGCTGAAACTCTAAACCACTACCCCAGCCCCACTCCCACTCCTTAAACCTCCACACACATAGTGTCATAGAATTTTACAGTACAGAAGGAGGCCATTTGATCCATTATGTCTGTACTGGCTCCCAAAAGAGCTACCCAGCCAGTCCCGTTCTCCAGCTCTAACCCATAGCCCTTCATTGCTTTCAAATATACAATCAGTTGTTTTTTGAAACCTCCTATGGAATCCACCTCCTCCACTCTCCCAGGCAATGCTTTCAAAATTTTATTTTCTGAGTAAAGAAGTTTCTTTTCATCTCACTCCTAGCTGTCTTGCTGAAAATCTTGAAATTGTGACCCTTAGTTACTGACATAGCAAGTAATGGAAATAGAATATCTTTTTTCACCCTGTCAAAATTGCTCATAATTTTGAACACCCCAGTCAGGTCACCTCTTGATCTTCTCTGCTCTAAGGAGAATAAGCCCAATTTCTCTAATCTTTCTTTGTGTCTAAAATCCCTCATTTCTGATAACATTGTAGTAAATCTCCTTTGCAGTCTCTCCGAGGCTTTTTTTTTAATTCACTCACGGAACCTTGGTGTTGCTGGCTGGCCAGCATTTATTGCCCGTCCCTACTTGCCCCCCATGAGAAGGTGGTGGTGAACTGTCATCTTGAACTACTGCAGTCAATCCTTCCTTAAATAAGGTGCCCAGAACTGAATAAAATACTCCAAATGTGGTCTGATCAATGATTTGTAGAGGGGTAGCATCACTTTCTTGCTTCTATACTCAATGCCTCCATTTATAAACCCAAGGGACCAATAAACCTCCTTAACAATTGTTTTAACTTGCCTGGTTACTTTTGGAGAATCATGCATTTGAACCTGTAGGTCCCTCTGCTTCTGTATTCCTCTCAAAGTTGTACCATTGATTCTGTGTTCTCTTTCCACGTTTCTTCTACCGAGATGCATTACCTCACATTTCTCTGCGTTGAAATTCCTATGCTAAGTGTCTGCCCGTTTGGCCATCTTGTCAATGTCTCTCTGAAGTCACTCAGCATTGTTCGCACAATTTTCTATTCTCCCTAGCTTAGTGTCATCTGCAAATTTAGAGATTTTGCCCTCAACACCCATTGCCAAATCATTTGTTTAAATAAGAAAAACCAAGGGTCCCTGGGGAATATGACTTTTAACTGTCTCCAATCTGAGGTGCCCATCTATACCTATCCTCTTTCCTAGCATTTAGTCAATTTCTCATCTATGCTGCCAGGGAGCCGTTAATCCCAAACAGTTCTAATTTGCTAACCAACTTGCCACGTGGCACTTTATTAATGTTTTCTGAAAATCTTAATATACAACATCCACAGCAATACTCTCGTCCGTTGCATCTGACACCTTATTAAAAAACTTAATTAAATTTGTCAGATATGAAATGCCCTTGACAAAGCCATGTCTAGTATTAACTTATTTTCCTCTAATTGTATATTTATCTTGTCCTGTAATATGGCCTCCACCAGTTTTTCCACTATTGATGTCAAGCAGACAGGTCTGTAGTTTGCTGAGTTATCATTTTCCCATTTCTCAAGCAGAGGCATCACATTTACGATTCTCCAGTCCCCTGGGACTGATCTTGCGTTCAGAGAGGCCTGGAAATTTTCTGTTAGTGGCTCAGTGATTTGCTCCCTTCCGTCTCTCAGCATCTCAGTCCCATCTGGGACTGGTGACATCTCCACCTGGAGAAGACACAGACAAAGACAAACGAATGTTATGGTTGGCAAAACAGAGATCATGGGTGGGGAAGGAGGGAGGGAAAGCACAATTCAAAGAACTTATTCATAGAACAATTCATAGAACTTATTGAGGTGTCCTGTGGAAGACACGGGACTCAGTCACTGGTCAGAGGCAACAGCTTACAGAAGCTGTTGAGAGAAAATAGCTAGTTATTTCCCAGGTTTTGGTTACTTCACTGCACAGAAATATCTTGTTTTTGTTTTCCTGCAGTCTGGAAGCTTCTCACCCTGTATTGTGAACAGACAAGCCGTTTGCTTTCCCTGGAGCCAATCAAAGTAGTCCCAACTGCATAAACCAATCAGCAATCTGTGACTGGGCAAAACTCATACTATACCTTTCCCTCAAAGTGCTGTGGTGTCTTAAACATTTCCTTTCTTCCATCCCCAACTGCTTGAAATAAGCATCAGTGTAAATACAAATCACAATGAGTTCCAATAAGTTATTTTTAGAGTCATAGACTTGTACAATATGGAACAGACTCCTCGGTCCAACTTGTCCATGCTGACCAGATATCCTAAATTAATCTAGTCCCATGTGCCAGTATTTGGCCCATATCCCTCTAACCCCTCCTATTCATGTACCCATCCAGATGCGTTTTAATTGTTGTAACTGTACCAGCCTCCACCTCTTCCTCTGGCAGCTCATTTCATAGATGTACCATCCTCTGCTTGAAAAAGTTGCCGCTGAGGTCCCTGTTATATCTATCCCCTCACATCTGAAACGTACGCCCTCTAGTTTTGGACTCCCCTATCCTGGGGAAAAGACCTTGGCTAATCACCTTATCCATGCCCCTCATGATTTTATAAACCTCTATAAAGTCACCCCCTTGGCCTCCGACACTCCAGAGAAAATAGCCCCAGCCTATTCAATGTCTCCCTATAGCTCAGATCTTCCAAACTGATGTAGGAGATCACGGTTGGAACTTCGCAAGGTGACCGTGAAAGGTAGGGAGGGATTTAAACTTTGTGAATATGGCACAAGTCTTCTGTCACTCATTCAGAAGCAATTTGATAATTACTTGTAATTTCTTGCCTACTGTTTTAACAGTGGTAATCTAATGTTTCCATTCTAGGAGCTGAAAGATTGTGCTGGACGAGTATTCGTTGACTCTGTGCCAGAGTTCTGCCTACCAGAGGTAAAAAAAAAAGTTACCTTGTGTTTGAGTAAGTGACTAGTGCTCAGAAAGAGCAGTATAGGTAGAGTACCTCAAATCCAGCTACCCGACTACTGGAGTCATCTGAAAATTGGACATCTTTTGCATCAATTTCAAATTGCATAAACTTACCAATTTAATTTGACGCAGTATTGGTGTGATACGGCTACAGACTAGTTAACATCTTCACCTGCTGCTCTGTCTCATGTTCCAAATTACTGTTGACTATACCAACCCAAGCTTGACTCAAACCATCCAAGCCTAAACTGTCTGACCTAAAATATCCGAAATCCAACAGTCTTGGATTTGAGGTACTATACTTGTAGTCCATTGTTAGTTATGCAGTGTTATGTTTCCATTTGTGCTGGTACCTCTAATAGTAAAATTAGCAGACACCCATTCATACTGCCTCTAGCAATGAAATAATGGATCCTAATTCAGGCACTGGCTTCTCCAGCAGCAACAATTCCTCTCAGCTGCCATTCGAGTATTTGCTTCTTTGACAGTAGTATATTTTTCTTGGGTTAGGCTGCAGAACAGCAACAACTGACCAGTCTGACTTTGGGACAAAGGTGGAAATGACTGCAGCAGCTCTGAGAAGCGTGAGCTTTATCATTGCTGATCGAGCAGCCAGCGTGACAAAGAGGGAAAGGAACTGGGTGATGGGGACTGGCTTTAGAAGTATAACATTTTTATGCACCGAGATTGAGAGAGTGCTTTTCCTTAAACATACTTTCCCCTTTTTGCAGTGTATGCAAATTGTAGGTACACTTGATTTACTTTGTGGCTGTATTCCTTTAAAATGTTTGTAATGTCCATTACAGACAGAGTTGCTGGACCTCTCCACTGTAGATGTGATCCTGATCTCAAATTATCACTGTATGATGGCATTGCCATATATTACAGAGCACACTGGCTTTACTGGCACGGTCTATTCCACTGAACCCACGATGCAGATTGGAAGGTAAGCACTTGAGAGTTTTTTTAAAAGGAAATTTAATTCTCTGTCCCCTCCAATCCTCAATTTACATTTTCTACCTTTCTCTTTGTTCCTGACAATGTTGACCGCAGCTGTAACACTATTCCATGTGTAGAGTCTTCCTATTTATAACTCTCTCAAAGATGCCATTCGAGTGTCAACTGCAGGGCAAATGTAATGTCCCTCTGAGGGCCATCTTGCCTGGAAACATCACCATTACCAAGTTGAAGCAATTTTAAAAGGGGTGCAAGAACAGAGACACATAGAACTGTTCTGTATAATTTTTTGCCAATTGCAGACAAGTGGTTCATAAAGCAAATGGGATCTTCGGTCTCATAAACACAGACATAGAATACAAAAGCCAGGGAGTTTTGGTGAATCTTAATAAAACACTGGTTTGGCCTCAGCAGAAGTATTGAGTCTAATTCTGGGCACCAGGTAACTGTTGAAATGTGAATTCAACAAATAAATCTGGAATATAAAACTAGTCTCAGTAATGGTAACCATGAAACTACCAGTAATTGCTGTAAATCTGGTTCATTAATGTTCTTTAGGGAAGGAAATCTGCCATCTTTACCTGATCTGGCTTATATATGACTCCAGACCTACTTGATGGGCAAAATGGTCTCTTTTTAGGCACACAGGACCAATAGGCCATTCAGCCACTCAACCATTCTCGACTATGATTGATCATATACATCAATTCCACTTTCCCTCGCTGTCTCTAGATACACCTATCCTTGATTTCATTCGAATCTAGACATTTATCAATTTCTGACTTGAACTTCTCAATGACTGAGCTCCATAGAGAATTCTGGGCCATAACGACTCTGACTGTATTTCCAAAGTTCAGTCAGAGATATTTGATTTGGCACAGGTTTAAAGAAGTCTAAAGAAGTACAAGGTGAAGAGACAGAGTGTTTCAGGTTAGGTATCAAAAAACATTAGATCACAGAGTGGTTGCTGTTTTATTTTTGGAGCAATTTAAAAAGAGCAAGTAATTGCACTTCATTCAAGATTTTGAAGAAAAATACATTAGATACAACCACTATCATCGTAAGTCTATTTATTCTGCCTTCCTGCCAATCCATTCCAGTCTTGAAGTGTTCCAATGATTGATCTGATGTGGCCCATGTTTATTTTTAAACTTTATTCTTGGAATGTGAGCATCAATGGCAAGACTGACATTTATTGTTCATTCATAATTGCCCTCAAGAAGATGGTGATGAGAATTGTAAATGAAGTGCCTCTACAGTGCGAGGGAGATTCAGGATTTTGCCTAGTGATGATGAAGGTACTGTGATATAAATATCTAAAGGAAGATGATAATTGATATGGAGTAAACTTAGAATGATACAACTTAGAACCGGACCATTTAGTTCATCAAGTTAGCACTGGTCCCTTTAAAGAGCAATTCAGTTCATCCCAGTCCACTGCTCTTTCCCCGTGTCCCTGAAATTTAATTTAGCTGTCTATGCTGAGTCCAGCAATATGTTGGGAAATCAGAGTGAAAAACAGAAGTACTGAATAGGCACACAGGCCAGATGGCAATTCAAGGAGGAAGTTAATTTTAGGGTTAGTCCATAATTCCGAACCTGCAGGAGAAATGTGCTTAATTTTGTTTTACTTGCCCCGTATTGGAATATGAGTCGCCTGCACAGTTAAGCAGCTTCAAAAGCAGCAATGTGTAAAGCCATTGACAGTGTTCAGTAGAGAGGTTGCAAAATCTAATTATGACCCCAATGCCTGACACAGTCGTGGTTTAGAGACACTTGAAAACAGATATGTTCACCCCTGCCGTTCTTTCACACGATCACTGTTGAACACCAAGCTCCAGTACTTGCTACCTGCAGACAGACCTCGCAATGACCCCCGCTATGGACCCCAAAACAATTAGCTAGTTAAGATGTGGAAAAAAAAATATAAGAACAGTCCAATGCCATATCTTATCCCTAAAACAATTAAATATAATTGCTGTTAAACTCTGAACCCTGTTAATGTAAAGACCCTAATCTAATGATCTGAATTTTATTTTACACTTTTCATTTCATATTTTTACATGTTGGAATAATTGATCGTAAAACTTACCTCAGGTCATTCCTTATCTGCTACCTACATTGATTTTTAAATTGATGACATTTTGATAATGTAATGGTGTATGTGGCCACTACAGCTTGGTGCATTTTCAATGTATTAAAATCATTATTTTAATTGTCATATTTTTCCTCCTCCTATTCTCAACAGGCTTCTCATGGAGGAGCTAGTCAACTTTATGGAGCGTGTACCAAAGCCGCAGTCTGCCACCTACTGGAAAAACCGGGAAATGCTCAGGTTAACAATTAGCTGAATTAAACTCTTGACTAAAACTGTACAATTTACTGTTGCTTTTTCTCTTTATATTTTTGTAAGTGTTATTTGTCCACTTTTTAATTTCTAGGTGAACAGATTACAAAAAAACCGCACCCTAATATTAGGAATATTAAGTGAGGAAATACCTGTGGGATGTTGCATGGAGTATCCAAGACATTCTGAATAGCTACCAATGACTTATAGATTAATTGGACCAGCCATGTACATACAGTGGTTGCAGAGTGAACTATTTACAAGGTGCACTACAGCAACTCACCAAGGAGGCAACTCCCAAAGCCATGACCTCTACTGTCTAGAAGAAGTACGACACCAGGAGCAGGGAAACTGCATAATATGCAAGTTCCCCTCCAAGCCACACATCATCGTGATCCTTTTATCATCAGTGAGTCATGATTGTAGAACTCGCTCCCTAATAGCACTGTGGGTGTGTCTACAACGCATGGACTGGGGCAGTTCAAAAAGATTGCTAATCACCATTTCCTGGGCAATTAGGGATGGGCGATAAACACTGACCTTGCCAGTGAGGCCAACATCCCATTTTTTCAAATTTATATGGTGAGTTTCAGCATGAGGAAGGATTTCCTCTGGTTTCTATGTGTTAGCAGTGCCATAAATATAGTTTGAAAATTGTCATTCGATGTGCAATTGAATAGTCACCAAGTAGTCATGCCCTAGTCTTTGATGTGAAGAATAGTAATTTAGTTAAGACAGAATGGTAGCTGGCACCATTTAAGCTGCAGCCTGTTTTATCAGTGCCTCAGAAAATGTTCGAGACCTGTAAAGTTAGTCATAAATGCTGCATCCAGTTTGAATAGGCTATTGCATGTGAGGAAATGAAAACTAATTTCATTTACAACACGGAAGGAGGCTATTTGTCCTATAAAGTCTGTACTGGCTACCCAAGCTTCTCTCTGCTTAGTCTCATTCCTGACTCAATCCCTGTAGCACTCTTAAGTGCCCATCAACCATTCTTTTGAAATCATTGATTGTTTCTGCTTCCACACCCTAAGGGGAACATCGGCATTAGGAGAAGGTCATTCAAGAAGATCATGACTGACCATAGCCTAGCGTTCTTCCTCTCAACCTACTTGCATCTTTCATACACTGTATTAAATCTCTGTTCCACTATTCTTGTGCTGTCAGCTAACAGTGTTCAGTTGAAGCCCTTTATGTAAAAAAAAGTCTTAAATATTTGTGAAATAAAACAAAGAACTGCAGGTGCTGGAAATCTGAAACAGAAACAGAAATTGCTGAAGAAACTCAGCAGCTCTGGCAGCATCTGTGGAGAGGGACAGAGTTAACGTTTTGAGCCCAGTGATTTTTGTTCCTTCCTCTTTTGCTAGCAGTGTCTCACTGCCAAATCTATCCAGCACAGAGAGTGTGAGACAGAGACTTGATCCTTATTTATTGCTAGTGTTCTTCTGAATCACTCAGATGCTACTTCTAATAATGAGCTCCGTTGTGTGGATGTGATTTTTCTTTGCACAGTACCACCATTCAGCATTGTACTTAGTCCTCATGAGCCTCCAACAGCCCTCTTTATATAACTCCATCGAAATGTCCTTCTATTCCTTTCTCATTGTTTTCTTGCTTCTCCTTAAATGGAAGTTTGCTGTTCATCTCAGCTACCCATCGTGGTTGCAAGTTTCATATTTTAAGCGCACTGTGGGTAAAGAAGTGTCTCTTGAATTCGCTGTCATTATTATTCCTCATTGTCTATCCTGTTCCTGCTTCCAGGCACTTACCTGTCCCTCTAAAGGATGCTGTGGAGGTTTTGACATGGAAGCGTTGTTACACAATGCCAGAGGTTAACTTGGCTTTAAGCAAGGTTCAGCTTGTAGGGTACTCTCAGAAAATAGTAAGTATTTGTTTATCATTAAAGTGATTATTAAACTTACTGAGTGAGGGAAACACAATAGTGAGAATGCACAGTAAAATTGTCAACAGTTGGGTTAATGCCTTGGGTAAAACCTTTCAACCTCAGCATTTTGCTTTGAGTTTTGTCTTCCAGTAGTTGTGGAGTGTTTTTTTTTTGTGTGTTTGTTTTTCTTTAAGATTTATTTCTGGGGAGAGAACTGCACACTGGTAACTTCACTGGTTTAGTATCCGGAAACCCAGGCTAATATTCTGGGATCACAGGTTCTTATCCTACCACAGATGTTGGTGGAATTTAAATTCAATTAAATCAGGAATTGAAAGCTATTCTCAGTAATGGAGACAATGAAGTTATCATCAATTGTTGTAAAAACCCAAATGGTTCTCTAAGGTCCTTCAGACATGGCAATCAGCCATGCTTAAACCAGTCTGGCTTAGCAGTGACTCCAAACCCACAGCAATATGGTGACACTGAACTGCCGTGTGAATTTACCTATGGTGCCACACATTGCAAGGACAAGGTCAGGATGGGCAACAAATTCTGGCGTTACAGTGACACTCGCATCCCATGAAAGTATTTTAAAAAATCTTACTGAGTGATAGTCTTGATGAGAAGAATGTTTTGATCATTAACCAGCAAGATCAATGCATAGTCTGTCTCCTGATTGTTAGTTGACAAATAGAAACCTTTTTGCATACAAGACATGTGTACAGAAAGAAGTTTACAACACACAGGTTTGACCCTGTGTATTGTTAGTTGACACAGCAAAGTGTTAAAAGAAAAGCCTGACTCAATGTGATAACAGTTTGCACTGTAGTTCCTTCAACATAGATTTATGTACCTTAGGAGGTTTTTTGGATAATTTAAAAAATGAAAACAGGGCGGCATGGTGGCTTAGTGGTTAGCACTGCAGCCTCACAGCGCCAGAGACCCAGGCTCGAATCCACCCTCCAGCAACTGTCTGTGGGGAGTTTGCACATTCTCCCCGTGTCTGCGTGGGTTTCCTCCGGGTGCTCTGGTTTCCTCCCACAGTCCACGATGTGCAGGTTTGGTGGATTGGCCATGCTAAATTGCCCATAGTGTTCAGGGATGAGTGGTATAGGGGGATGGGTTCTGGGTGGGATGCTCTGAGGGTTGGTGTGGACTTGTTAGGCTGAAGGGCCTGTTTCCACACTGTATAGATTCTATTCTATGAAAACTGCGGATGCTGTAAATCAGGAACGTAAACAGAAGTTGCTGGAAAAACTCAGCAGGTCTGGCAGCATCTGAGTTCTGAGGAAAGGTCACCGGACCCGAAACGCTAACTGTGATTTTTTCTTCACAGATGCTGCCAGTCCTGCTGAGCTTTTCCAGCAACTTTTGTTTTTGTTTTTGGATAATGTGTTGGCTGGTCTACTGTGAAGTTGCAGTCAAAACCAAGTATAATTGTCAATTGAAAAGAGAATTGGTCTAGGATGTACTGATGTACTCCGCCCACCACTGTGTGAAGTAATATAAATTCTGTCCTTATTTCTACACGTTTACATTAGGAATTTCCACGTCAACATTTAGACTGCTTTCCACATGTGTACACTTGCCAAGCTGTAACTAAATCATCCCATCAGTAAGGGTGTTGAATCACTTGCACTTCCAGGAAGTTGCAAGTAGAGTGTGACCAGTTTACTGTATAAATGTAGATATACAAGTTTATAATGAAAAATGTTCAGAGAAATTGCTTGAAGATGCAGAATTGCTTGCTTTTATGTTTACTTCAGTCAGAAACTATGTACATCAATTTTCAATTTTCTATTGAATTTAAGTAGAATATTTCCGACACTCTGATCAGGAATGAGGCCTTTAGAGTTAGTAGCTGATCTCTATCAGGCAATTGGAGGGCTACATCTAGCCTCCACATCCCTACAGTAGAAGGAGATGAAAGTCAGCCAAATTTTAGTTGCCGATCACCATCCAAAAGAGCATTGCTGGAAGCAATTATGTGTGGGTTTTGAATGAAGCCATATGTGAAGATCCTAACAAAGTTCACTATCTTAGTGGACATACTAACTAATCATTGCTTTTCAGAAAGTGGCTGGTATTAGGTTATGTGTTTAAAGATGAGAATCCTGTCGATTTGAGTTCTGTTCTTTTCTGTGGAATATCAGGAGCTGTTCGGTGCAGTACAGATCACACCACTCAGCTCGGGCTACTGTTTGGGTAGCTCCAACTGGATCATCCAGTCGCACTACGAGAAAGTGGCCTATGTGTCTGGATCCTCATTGCTCACCACACATCCACAGGTAACTACCTTCTCCTCCCAGGTCCCTTTCCACTATTGGGATATTGATGGTGTAATGGTAATGTCACTGGACTAGTAATCAAGAGGCCCAGGCTGATGCTTTGGCGGCATTGACTTGAATTCCTTGGTGGAATTTAAACCTGTTAATAGATCTGGAATTGAAAGCGAGTCTCGATAATGGTGATACAAAGCTATTGTTGATTAACATAAAAACCAATCTGGTTCACAAATGTCTTTCAGGAAAGACCCAAGGTCCTTACCCAATCTGGTCTACCTGTGACTCCAGACCCGTGGCAATGTGACTGACTAATAGTTGCTTTCTTAAATTGCTGAGCAAGCCACTCCATTCCAAGATAAGTTGGGATGGTCAACAAATGCTGGTCTTGCCACTGACGCTTAACAGGAGCTTTATCTGTAAAAAACACTTGTGCAACAAGCTGATGAAGGACAGATAGCGAAAAGCTTCATTAGCGAAATGGGTTTTAAGGAGTGCTTAAATAGTCAAAACAACAGGTAAGATTAGGAAGAGAGTGGAAAGATTAAAAACTTGTGCAACTTCTCAATGTTGAGGTGCAGCTGGTTCAAGAAAGGAGAAGAATTGATTAAAAAAAGAATAAATATGTTTAATTTCAGCCCATGGAGCAAACCTCTCTGAAAAATAGTGACGTCCTCATCCTGACTGGACTGACACAGATTCCGACCGCTAATCCTGATGGCATGTTGGGAGAATTCTGCAGTAACCTAGGTAACAGACTAGGAAGGAGGTGTATTGAGAGCCAGGACCTCAATTTACTCAATCCTGGGCTCAAGATACTTTATTTTGTTCCCTGAGGTGTGTTTTTTTTAAGCCCTTTTGGTTGGAAATGTACTTATCTCAAGATCAATTTTGTATTTGGTAGCATCTTCAAAGTTGGACTCACTTAGTACAGTGGGTCAGTGGTCTGTCCTTTTGTCTTAAATCCAAACTGATGTCTCTGTTGATTCCCAGAGTAAAATACTGTGAATGCGGGAAGTCTAACAAACGGGGGCAAGCAGAGTTAGAATCATATAATTCCTACAGTGTGGAAACAGGCCATTTGGCCCATCCAGTCTACAACAACTCTCTGAAGAGCACTTCACTCAGATCCACCACCCCCCCCCTTCCCTATCCCTATAACCCTACATTTCCCATGACTATTTCACCTAACCTACACATCCCTGGACACTATTGGCCATGCCAAATTGCCCATTCACCTAACCTGCACATCTTTGGACTTTGGGAGGAAACTGGAGTACCAGGTCGAAACCCACGCAGGCACCGAAAGAATGTGCAAACTCCACGTGGACAGTAGCCCGAGGGTGGAATTGAATCTGGGTCCCTGGTGCTGTGAGGCAGCAGTGCTAACTGCTGAGCCACTGTGCTGCTCATAGGTCATGGAATTATAGAATTATTATAGCGTAGACCCATCACATCCATGCTGACTTTCCTGAAGATTGATTCGTGTGCTGCCGACCCCTGCTCACTTGGCATATATGTTACATTCCTGCTGTTCAGATATTTAGAAAATGTGAAAAAAATTATGGCATGAAAGGAGGCCACTCTACCCATTAGGTCTGTGCTGGCTGAAAAACTAGCTAACCAGTCTGGTCCCATTTACCAGCACTTCGTCTGTATCCCCAGAGATTACAGAACTGCAGGTGCACATAGGCATCTTTTCAACGAGTGAAGGGTTTCTGCACCTAATACTTTTTCAGGCAGTGAGTTCCGGATCCTAGACACCTTCTAAGCGAAAACTCCTTTCCTTAACTCCCCCCTAATCCTTCTACTAATCATTTTAAAACTATGCCGCCTAGTCACTAGCCCATCCGCTGAAGGAAGTAGGTTATCTGCATCCACTATATCCAGGCCCTTCTCAAAACTGTACACCTCACTCAGGTTCACTCTTGCCTCCCTCTGTTGCAAACTTTTGATGTTCTCAGAAAAAGAACACTTGCGCATTTTAATAAAAAGGCCAAGCAAATAAAAAAGAGTATCTTCATCTATCAACTTTTAAATCCCTTCTCTAGCTTTTGAGGTTGGTTTGTATTCGGAGCAGAATTATCCAGTCTTGCTGGTGAGAAAAACAAAATTTCCCCAAGTGTAAAGGCTTTGTGTGGACTTTTCCTGTGCCCACAGCTGTGACTGTCCGAAGTGGTGGGAATGTCCTGGTTCCGTGCTATCCCTCGGGAGTAATTTACGACCTTCTGGAATGTCTGTATCAATACATCGACTCGGCTGGACTCTCCACTATCCCATTTTATTTCATCTCTCCTGTGGCCAACAGCTCGCTGGAGTTTTCCCAGATCTTTGCAGAGTGGTAAGTGTGTGATAACTGTAGAGGTAATGAACAGAGCCCTCAAAGGTATCCATTTCATTGTTGACACGAAGAAAGACAATTGTTATGCATCCTTGCAGGTGTTTTTTTGTGAAGTTCAGGACTATTTTTAAAAATTCTTACTCCTAGCTAGCCAACATCCTGTGTGTCAAAGTCACTTTTATTTCCAGTATTGCATTTAAATGAATTCAAATTCTCAGATTGGTCAGATAGCAAATGTTGAGTTCAACTTCTAACTTATTCTAATACTTGTGGATACCAGTCCGTTAAATCACCCATCATCACCACTCTAGTCATGTCTGTGTGTACAAGGCTTAGTATCTCACCTTGTCATTTTATTTTTTAACAGTTTGATGATGTTATCTTGTTATGACAAACTCCAATCTCTTAATTGTTTCATTTTTTTCTCTTCTATCTTCCGACCCTGCCCACCATCACCTGCTCCGACTTAAGGCTTTGTCACAACAAACAGTCAAAAGTCTACCTGCCAGAGCCGCCATTCCCACACGCAGAAGTAAGGAAAAAGTCAGAAGGATTTTGAGGCTGTACTATTTAGTGCTGCTTTTATGAAGCACAGAATTTGCACATTGACTTGCTTTGGGATCTGCATTTCCATAGTATTATATATCTGCATGTGGCCAACTTGATGGAAAAGTAACTCGTGTTTTGACTGCATCTAGCTTTGACAATTGGCTTTGTTACTTTGAATGTGATATTGTGTGTTAAGTAGGTGTGGTTTGTTAATTGATGTGGGTGGTGTAAGTATTCATGTATGCACTCCTAGGCTAAGGCAGCTATTAAATGACCAAGTGCTGAATTTTGAGATTCTCAGATTATTGTATTCCATTACAAATCAAACTGTTGTGCTAAATCAGTTTTTAATGATTTTCCCCACAACTTGCTGGGATATTCCCCTCACCTCTCCGTGCTTCCTGTCCCAACCTTAATCACTTGATTGTGAGCAAATGCTTAGCTAAAGACCAAAGTTGCTTCCGCTTTTGAAAGAGAGCTCCAGAGAATTTCCAGGGTGTTGTTCTACGTAGAACTTGGGAGTGAGTCAACAGCCCATCCTCTAGGCTATGATGGGGTGTATAATAGAATTTGTTTAGTGCTTTGAACCTGCTGAAACTTCACAGCTTCTTTCCAGTTTGGCTGATAGTTGCTTATTGTGCTCTTTACTCTGTCCTTTCCTGTCTCGATTTTGTTTTCAGCTGATTTTGACCAATAAATTGAAGCACTATCCCAGTATACATGGGGAATTCAGCAATGACTTCAAGCAGCCCTGCGTGGTATTTACAGGCCACCCCTCCCTACGTTATGGGGACGTTGTACACTTCCTGGAGCTGTGGGGAAAATCCAGCCTCAACACCATCATTTTCACAGGTAACTGAACCATTCACTGTTGGAAATGAAAGAAGGATGAATGGTGTGGTGTTGGAAGGCAGGTTGTGAGTGGACACATCATCCATCTTTCTAGAGAAATGTTAAACCAAGGCCTTGGCTGACCCCTCCGGTGGGATGTAAATGATTCTATATGCAAAAAATACAGAACAGCTTCATTTTCCAATCCAGGCATCACTCATTAAGTCTGAGAAAATCTGCGTCTTGAATAAAAAATACTTGCATTGCGAAAGGAACTTCGGATTAGCCGTGATCCTACTGACTGGTAAAACAGGATCAAGGGTCCAACTCCTGCCCCTATTTCTTATGGTAATCTATTGTATCTGATTTCCTTCCAGAACCGGATTTCTCCTACCTAGACGCTTTGGCACCATACCAGCCGCTGGCTATGAAATGTGTTTACTGTCCAATTGATACTCGATTAAACTTCATTCAAGTTTCAAAATTATTGAAGGAGGTTCAGGTATGATGATTGGTGCCATTCTTTTGTCTTTTTGGTCAGGAGGAAGCAGAAAACTTCAGTCAGTGATGGAGATGGTGGCATATGGGTAATGTCACTGGGCTAGCGATCCAGAGACCCAGGCTAAAATTCTGGCGACGTGGGAACAAATCCCATTACAGCAGCTGGTGGAATTTAAACCCAGTTATTAAATCTGGAATATAAAGCCAGTCTCAATAGTGACCATGAAACCATTGTCGATTATCATAAAAACCCATCTGGTTCATGAATTTCTTTTTAATTCATTCACAGGACATGGACGTCATTGGCCATGCCAGTATTTATTCCCCATTTCTAATTGCCCAAGAGGACAGTTGAGAGTCAACCACATTGCACTTGGTCTGGAGTCACATGTAGGCCAGACTGGGTAAGGATGGCAGATTTCCTTCTTTAAATGACATTAGTGAACCCTTTTGAAGAAGGAAATTTGACATCCTTACCCAGACTGGTCTACATGATGCCTGACTCGCAGGAATTTGGTTAACTGTCTTCTGAAATGGGATGTAAGTGACTCATTTTGAGAGCAATGATAGATGGGCAACAAATGCTACCCTTACCAAATAAAGTCTAAAATAAATTTTTTGCCAACATATTTATTATCTTAATGTTTTATAAATCATGTGATGTAGCATATCAGGCCAAAGATACTGCACATTCTGTTCGCATGGAATGTTGGCTGATGAATTGTCAAATGTAGAGTTGCTTTCACTTTACAAAATAGGCGCTAACAAAGTAAGCCAATCCATACTAATCCGTCTGTTTCTCAAATGATCTTGGGGAGTTTTACTTCCTTTTTTTTGTTTCCAGCTTGCCTCTGGCTGATCTATAGCACTCAATCACTTTGCAAATGTAACAATACCATAATGAGTGAAGTGCGTCATTACAAATACAGGTACATTTTCTGCAACCATGTATGATGAGGCCAGAGTCGCTTAGCATCATTGTACCTTGAGAAGGATTTACAATTCTGTGCAGTGGCATTTCCTCATATTAGAACTTGAGGAAACGTGAAGATCGACCAGTCCCAAGGGAGATGAAATGGCCTCTTTTTTAATCCTACCCAACCCACACTGTCAGTGAATGTCGGGCTATGGGACTGATCAGTAAAATGTTATTTAGTGTTTTGCACTCCTACCCATCAACACTCCCCGTTTTGGTTTTCCAGCCATTGCATGTTGTGTGTCCGGAACAATATACTCAACCTCCACCTGCCCAATCGCACCGCACTGATCTGATGATTGACTGCCAGCCCCCACCAATGGCCTACCGGAGGGCTGAAGTGCTGACCCTCCCCTTCAAACGACGCTATGAGAAGATTGAGCTCATGCCTGATGTAAGTGAGTGGCTGTTTTTGATCTATTGGTGCAGTTATATTGATTCACTCTGTTTGTTTGTTTTACTTTTGTTGCTGCTTCATTCCTCCATTCCGCCCTCCCTCCCTCCCTCTCATCCCTTAAACTTAACACCATTGTGACGATGAGCTTGGACTCTCCTTCAAGCTTATATTGAAAGCTAACATCAGCCATGAATTGAGAACTTCGCTGGAAGACAGCGACTGAGATTAGAAAACTTAACACAATGCACTGGGCATGAATTGCGCTGGGAGAGAAAAGATAGCCTCTTGCCATGTCAGACTGGTCGCAGTCTGCAGATTTAAATAGCATGTGGCAAACTGCAGGTAGGATGGGTTAAATGTTTGGTTCCCTATACACTGGTTTACCATATATTGGGAAATGTTTTGTAGTTTGCACTCATAGAAAGTAAGAAAATGCTGCTGCACAGTCAGAGGTGCTGCCCTTCAACTTGGTCCCATTTCCCTCTTCTGGTGGACATGAAAGATCCCATGACACAATTTTGAAGAAGAAGAGGGGGATTTTTCCCCAATTTCCTGGCCAATATTTATCTCTGACCAACGTGACTAAAATAATTAGCCTGGTCATTATCACAATGCCGTTGTGGCAGCTTGCTGTGTGTGTAGCTTGCCTGCTGCATTTTTAATACAGCAATGACTACACTTCATTCAGAAAATAAACATACATTGTTGGCTATACAGCACTTGGAGATATCAAATAGTTACGAAAGGCGCCGTATGTATCCAAGTTTTTTCTTGCCTTCCCTGATTTTAATTCCTCTTGTACTATCGTTGTTTTACAGCTCGCTGAGTCCCTGGTGCCTTCTGAGATAAAACCTGGCATTTCCATGGTAACCGTGTCTGCAGTACTACAGACCAAAGACAATAAGCACATTCTGCAGGTCAGTCATAAAATTGCACTAGCCCAATAGACTTGAATTGGATTTATTTTTCACAGTTTCATTTAACCTAGGTAAATAATTGATGCCAATTGGGAAACATGTGGAAGCACCACAGGTAGGATGTCGTCAGCTTTACCCCTCTTTTTCTCTCTTTCGCCCCCAACCCCAGGCAGAAACTTGTGGCATGGTTAACTGCTGTTCATTAGTGCTCACATACACTTTGCATAGCTAGTACAAGATACAGTTACAGATGGACATAAAGTATGGCATAACTTCAAAAAAAGCAAAGTGTTTATCAAGTGTTCTGGTCAACGTTTATTTTCGGCCAGCATGATCAAAAGAAGTAATCTGATCATTTAGCTCATTACTGTTGGTGGGAGCGTGCTGTGCACAAGCACATTCAATGTTTTTATACATTACAGCAGTAATACCACTTCAGAGGAAATTCATTGATTTTAAAGTAGTTTGGGCCTTTCTAAACTTGTAAAATGCAAGATTTTCATTTATTCCTTCATGGGATGTGGGCATCTCTGTCTGGGTCAGCATTTATTGCCCATCCCCAATCATCTTGAGGGCATTGCTGTTAGCCTGGTGTCATATGTAGGCTAACACAGGTAAGGATAGCAGATTTTCATCCCTCTTTCTTCAGAAAATGAAGAAGGGTCTAGGCCCAAATCGTCAGCTTTCCTGCTCCTCTGATGCTGCTTGGCCTGCTGTGTTCATCCAGCTCTACACCTTGTTATCTGAGTTTCTCCAGCAGTTTGTTTTTGGTTCTGAAGTGAAACTGCTTAATTTTGTGACTGATTTCTTACATCAGGGGATTGTATGATGTGAATAAATTTATCATTATACACCATCCCTCAAAGCAGCGGAATGAAGTACTGAGTGGGTCTTAGCTGCTCCGTTATGTTTTTATTAAATACATTGTGATACTCCAATCTTCTCTCTCGTAGTCACTCCCAAAGTCAATGCAGCCTCAAACTGGCAAGAAGAGGAAGCGGGCAAATGATGATACTCCTGAATTCAAACCTCCCAAACCGCTACTGTGTGGTTCGATCACCATTGAACAATTTGTACAGAGCCTAGAGAAGGTAAATATCAATTCTGCTATCCTGGGATTTCCCAAGTCCTCTGCTTCATTAGTGGTAGCCAAGGCCCTAAACTCCGGAATTCCTGTCCTATGCCTTTCCACCTCTTCATTCTATCTTTAAATCCCTGCTTAAGGTAGTGCTTCCCAAACTTTATCCTTGTGTGATCCCACTTTAAATACTTTAAACCTTGTGTGAAGCCAGAGTGAAAATTTGCCATTGAGCGAGGGGTAGGAAGCAAAGGCTTCATAGTTGTTAAGGGGGGGGGGGGGGGGGGCATGAGTTGGGCAATAAGGGAGTTCAAGAAAAGTCCAGATTCTACAAAACAAAATCCACAACTTTTCATGGGCTAATGCCACTGGGCTAGTTATCCAAGGCTTTTGCTCTGGGAACATGGGCTCAAATCCAACCACAACAGCCGGTAGAATTTGAATTCAATTAATAAAGACCTGAAATTGAAAGCCAGTCTCAGAAATGGTGCCATGAAAATATATCGATTATCCACAGAATTGTGGCTCAGTGGTTAGCACTGCGGGTTCAATTCCACACTTGGGTGACTGTCTGTGTGGAGTTTGCACATTCTCCCAGTGTCTACATGGGTTTCCTCTGGGTGCTTCAGTTTCCTCCCACTGTCCAAAGATGTGCAGGTTAGGTGGGTTGGCCATAGTGTCCAGGGATGTGCAAGTGGGGTGGATTAGCCATGGAAATGCAGGATTACAGGGATAGAGTAGGGGGTGAGTCTGGGTAGGCTGCTCTTCAGAAGGTCGATGTGGAGTTGGTGGGCCGAATGGCCAGGTTCTACACTGTAGAGATTCAATGATCCTTTGGAGAAGGAAATCTGCCACCCTTAGTCAGTGTGTGATTTACCTGTGACTCCAGGCCCACAGCAATGCAGTTGAGTCTTAACTGTCCTCTGAAATGTCCAAGCGAGCCATTCGGGGATGGACAACAAATGCTGGCCTCATATCCCAAGAAAGAATAAAGAAAGATTAAAGAAACTGAGCACTTAAAGAGACCTCTTAGCAATCAGTTTGAGCTGGCAGCAGCCATTGCTGTCTTGGAGCTCGTGACCCCATTTGGGCTCATGAGCCACAGTTTGGGAATTCTGGTTTAACACCTACTTCAGGCTTTTTAATCACCTTTACTAATAGTTGCTAATGCAGCTTTGGGTTATTTTGGGCTGTTATGCATGCTTCTTTTAAGTGCTTTGGGACATTTCAGTTTGTGTCATTGAACTTCTTAGAGGCACAGAAAACACTTAAGAGAACGATTTTAAAGTCAATGTTTGATGGTGATAGCACCTTCACAGGATAGTGACCCTGACACTTTGCAATTGATGTATTGAATCATTGTGACTAAAGGAGTTTGATCTTTTCCTCCCGTTTGAGGTAATACACCCTACTTCCCCTTGCTTCAAATAATGATAAAATTGTTATAGTGCAGAAGAAGGTCATTTGGCTCATTGTGTCTGCACGATCATCATGACTTAGTGTCAAATTCCTGCCTTTTCCCTGTAACCCTGCTTTTTGTTTCTATTCAAATAATCTTCCAATGCTGTCTTGACTGCCTTGATTAAACCTTACTCCGCCATACTTGGCCAAGCAGTGTGTTCATACCCAAACTACTCACAATGTGAAAATGTTTATCTATAATCACGTAATTGCTTTTGAAAATTTCTTTAAATCTGTACCTTCTTGATCTCAATCCTTTTAAGAGTGGGAACAGTTTCTCTCTATCTACACTGTCCAGAACCCTCATGATTTTAAGAATTTCTATAGAATCTCCTCTTAAACTTCTTTTCAAGGAAAATAGTCCCAACTTCACCAACCTATCTTCATCACTGAACTTTCTCATCTCTGGAACTGTTCTTGTAAACCTCCCTTGCACTCTCTTAATGCATTCACATTCTTCCTGAAGTGTGGTGCCCAGAACCAGACACAATACTCTATCTGAGGTCTGTCTAGTGCCATTTACAAGTAGTTCTTCAGCTTATAAATTTTCTCAGCTGTCATCATATTATCTTTTAAGTATTTTAAAAGTAACTGCAAATATCAATGATTCTTTGATCTGATCTGTGTATGTGTGTTTATACTGTGAAGTCCCTCGAATACCTCGAATTCTCTAGTATGGGGAGCACACATTGGGGTCACTCTATCTTTCTCCAAAGTTAGACCATAAGATATCAGAGCAGAGTTGGGCCATTCAGCCCATCGAGTCTGTTCTGCCATTTGATAGTGGCTAATGTGTTTTTCAACTCCATTCTCCAGCCTTCTTCCTATAACCCTTGTTCCCCTTACTAATCAAGAACCTGTCCATCTCTGTCTTAAACTCAATGACTTGGCCTCCACAGCCCTCTGTGGCAATGAGTTCCACTGATTCACCACCCTCTAGCTGAGGCGGATCATCAAAAGGAGCCACATTCCTAGCTCACCTCTCTTGTTCCAATGCTTGACTATGATGTTTTATAGGTTTTGCAGTGAGCACAGCTTTTTTTGGGAAGTAATCTTTATTTTCTTATCATTTTTCTCACCTTGTGAACACCAGTGAATGGTTTGGTCCTGAGGAAGGGAGGAAGCTTAATGAGCGGAAGGGTTTTCAATCCATATTTCCATTCTAGTGACATAAGACAAAGATACTCCCAAATCAATGTGCCTCACATCTGTTTGTTTGTTGTTTTTAAGTAGCATTTTAGTTGAGAAGCAACTGGATGCACACTCCACCACTGTCAGTAACTTGTCCCCTCATTTCCCCGCAGCATGGCATCACAGATGTCAAAGTTGAAGACACGCCAGAGGGACATATTGTCCACCTTCAGTCTGAAGATACACTAGTCCAAATTGAAGAAGATTCCACTCATATTATTTGCGACAACAATGAGCCACTTCGCACCAAGCTCCGCGACTTAGTCCTCAAATTTCTACAAAAGCTATGAGCGAGGTTTTGACCTTTTGTGACTAATTTTTAGTAGCTTGTGCATTTCAGACTCGCTGACCAGAGCATGATATAAATGGTTGTCAGAGGATACTATGCACTGTCATAGGAGTGGGCCGTTTAGCCCCTGAAGCCAGTTGTACCATTTGTTTAGATCATGGGTGTTCTATAGCTTCATCTTGCTTATGTAACGCTTAATAATCTCACCTATCAAAAATCTATCCAACTTAGGTTTTGCAATTTTCAATTGACTACCCAGTCTTAATAGTTTTTGGAGAGTTCTGGATTTTAACCTCCCATGGACAGTTTTCTAACATTACTCTGAACAGCCAAGTTCGAGTTTTAAGGCTGTGCTAACCTTGTTTTAGAAATGTGCATTAGAGGAAAGGTTTCCTTTTTCTTTTTTTCTCTCTCTGTCTCTCTGTCTCATTGACTCTGCAACCCAAAACCATTAATCATTGTAAGTATTGTGCTAGGTAATCTCCATTAGATCAACCCTTAATCCTCTATTCATATTGACACATAAGCAGATGCTGACAAAATGGCAAGTGTGAGGCTTGAGGGGTTTAAAACCTTCACCTTGACCTTAAGGCTAGATAAAGGCTTTGATCTCATTCCCTGACCACGCATGTACAGTTTGAAATTTTACGAGTGAAAGGGGGGAGTTAATCAATTGATAGCATAATGCTGATGTTGGCTGTGACTCAGCTGATAGTGCTTTTGATTCATAAAGTTGTGGGGTAGAATTCCCACTGCAGAGACTTCAGAAAAATGTAGACTGATGCTCCAGTGCTGTACTGAGAGAGTGTGGCACTATCAGAAGGTCTGACCTTTTGATTAAACATTAAACCAGATTCATCAGCCTTTTCAGGTGCACATAAAAGATACAAGGACAGAAAAAGAACAGTGGAGTTCTCCCTGGTGACATAAGCAAAACTTAATCATCAATCAATACAGCATTTGGACAGTTTCCATTTATTCTTTGTAGGAGCTTTCTCTGTGCAAATTAGCTGGTGATCATACTTCAAAACTATTTGATTGGCCATAAACTTCTTCAAGCCATCCTGTGGTGGTGAAAAGGTCTATATAAATGGAAGTTCAGTGACATGAAAAAAAAACTTGCAAGTCCTTGATGTGTGATAAATTCCATAAAGGAGACTTGTCAATGACGACACTTCCACTACAAATGAAAATGGTTTCCAGTTGATTTTTGAGGCCACCCTATTTGTGATATATGTTTTATAAAACCTTAACTGGAAAGCATTTGGTTGGGGACTGGTTCTCTGCTCCTCACTGGTGTCCACATAGCTTCCAATAGAAAACATCAATAATCTAGTAGAATCCAAAGTGTAAAATCTGGCATACCACTGGTGTTTTTCTCATCCTGGCCTCAAAGTGCTTCACATATTGTATTGATCACCCACTATTGGAGTGCATTATGTCCATCAATCTGATAGGTGTCAACAAAAATGTAATTAACTGATGTTCTTTTGATGTTTCTACATGTATTAATTGATTATTGTTTTATAAGGATTTTTATATTTTGTTTCAAGTGTATGAACTTTTTTTAATGAAAATGTATATTTGTAACTCCACTATCAGAAAACAAAGTAGGGAGGAATTGCGATAATAAAAACTCAGTTTGAAAGGTACTGAATGAGGAGGAACCTTTTATAATGGTCATAACAAGTGAGATACAAAAGGTGAATCCAGAGCATGGTTTTCAGTGAAACAACAATAGCTAGACCAGCAGACGGGTAGAAACTAGTAAAGCCAGACCTGTTTTTTTTAAGCAAAGCTTAACTCATGTTTTGAATGGACAATGAAGGTGAAAACTTTGGCATAATTCTTCACTCCATGCTAAACCATTACAGATCACGAGTTATGTGACCTTTGAAGTAGTGTTCAGTCTTGAGCACCAGACTTTGGAGTTATCTCAAAGCCGTGGAGAGAGTGCAGTGGAGATTTACTAGGATGGTTTCGGGGATGAATGGATTCCAATTTTGACAAGGGGTTTGAGCAGCTGAGATTACTGAATATTTTATACATGCACTTTTTATTTATAGTTCACAGCTGAAAATTCAAAGGTCACTAAACTTACCCCCTTACTGACCCATGTACACCGTATAAAGACCCCATAATTGCTGCCTTTTTCCAGTACTATTCATGGTGTAGAAGAAAAACCTTTATCTGAGACCTCTGTTCTAAATCACCAACACATGTGGCATTCTTCCCAATCAGTGTGATCTTGGACCTTCAGTTAGTCAAAACACTTATTGTTTAGTGACATTTATAGCAGTTCACTCCTCCTGTGTGGCTTTGCAAATAATTTGGATTGGTTCACCCTTTCCATGATTGAAACAGAAAAACATTGGAAAACATTCAGGAGGTTAACCAGCACCATGGAGAAGAGAAAGTTAACGTTTCAGGTTGACCCCTGTTATCACTGAGCTTTGTTCAAAAGGGAACAATTGTGTATGCAAAGTATGCCACATTTTTGAACAAAAATGAGCAACATCATGACTTTAGTAATTAAAAATCTGTGTGGTAGATCCAGGACTATTTTAACTTTTGGAAGAGGAATTATGAACTGCTTTCATAAATAATTGTGAAATAATTGAGATTTTGTTGTTTATTTTACACACCTTCCCTCATTTTGTTCTCTGTCTGCCTCCTTTTCTGCCTACATATTGTTATCAAAGGTATTACTCTGAGGCATTTGGTTGATACCAATGCAGACGGAATACTCAAATAGTTTGTTATCTGCACTTTGAAATCCTGTTTTCACACAATGTGACACTCTGAAGGGATGTTTTGCCAAAATGCAGTACATATGAGAAATTTCACTACAAAGAAGCTAGAATCAAGTTTTCAAAGTTTGAATACACAAAGGCATTCTTTAAAGTGGTTATCAAAGCTGTTTGTTAATCGCTCATATATAGGAATGTCAATGCACCACACAATGAAATAGAGCCAGTTATCATGCTTCCCCCACTAAATTACATCCCACTCTCAATCTGCAGGATTGGAAAGAACACTTCAACTGGAATTGTGAAGGACATAAGTGGTCTGGTGAGGAACAGCAGTAGCCACTTTCAATTTATTTTTGTGTGTTCCAATGAAACCAAATAATCCAATATACAATTTGTTATTTTACACAATTGATGCTAAATTTGATCCATTACCTTCGTGGGGGAAGTTTCCTGGTTTTGAGAAATTGAAGTTTTATCGTCAGTGACTTTATTATATACGGAACGAGGAAAGGCCAAACGGTCGATTGGTGCTGTCCTCCCACCACGTTCTTTGCCCTGTGACCTTGTGCTGTTTGGCCTAAATGGAATATGCACCTAATTACATTTTCTCCTGATCGGAGATTTTGCTGATTCTGCCCCTTATCCACAGTTAATCAATCTGAAGTAGTAACTTCATTATTCTTCAATGCCTCAACACCACTGACATGTCTGATGACCGAGATTTGATAAATGACACATCATTCACAGACAAGTCCAGAAGTCATCCTTCTGTCTAATGTTTGACATATTGGATATGTGAACTCTTCCACAAAAGGTGGTCTGAAGCACCCTGTGCAGTAGACTTCCAGAGGTTGTGGAAATAAACAAAGAAATAGTTTAATGAGTAGAAATGGTAATTATGGCTCTGAGATGTCCCTTAAAACCACCATTGTGCTGATTGATTCAGTGTGATGCAGAGAAGATGGGCCCGTGTATTTGTCATGAGTAAAATGGGTATTTACAAAATTGCTGTAGTGCAGCAGAAGGTCTTTCAGTCCATCATGTGTGCACCAGCTCTCTGAATAAACATCATGACTTTGTGCCAATCCCCTTAACCCTGCACATAAATAATCAAAAAGTGTTCTCTTACCTCAGTTGAGGTAAAATTCTTTCAGATGCTGCATTCTATACCATAACGCTTGCTACATGAAACCATTTATTCTCACATCTCACTTACTTCTTTTACAAATCACTTTAAATCTGTAGCATCTTGTTCTTATAGAGTCACATGACACGGAAACAGACTCCCCGGTCCAACCAGTCTAAGCCGAACACAATCCCAAACCAAACTAGTGCCACCTGCCTGCTCCCAGCCCCTATCCTTCCAAACCTTTCCTATTCATGTACTTATCCAAATGTCTTTTAAATGTAGTAATTGTGCCTGCATCCATCCCCTCGGATTTAAAAAAAATTGTCCCCATGTCTTTTTTAAATCTCTTTCCTCTCACCTTAAAAATATGCCCCCTAGTCTTGAAATGCCCCATCCTAGGGAAAAAGAGAACTATCATTAACTTTATCTATACTCCTCATTATTCTATAAACTTCTATCAGATTGCCTCTCAAACTCCTATGCTCTAGTGAAAAATGTCCCAGCATATCCATTCTTTCTTTGTAACTCAAACCTTCCATTCCCGGTAACATCCTGGTTAATCTCTTCTGAACCCTCTCCAGCTGCTTAATATCCTTCCTATAACTGGACAACCAGAACTGGACACAGTACTCCAGAAGAGGCCTCATCAATATCCTGTACAACCTGAACATGACTTCCCAACTCCCTTGCTCAGTCCCTTGAGTATAGAAGGCAAGCATGCCAAATGCCTCTTTAACCACCCTCTCCCTATGATGCAAACTTCAAAGACCTATGTATCTGCACCCCTAGGTTCCTCTGTTCTACAACCCTACCCAAGGCCCTACCATTAATTGTATAAACCCTACCCTTGTTTGTTGTACCAAAATGCAATACCTCACATTTAGCCAGATTGAACTCCATCTGTCATTTTTCAGCCCATTGACCCATTTGATCAAGATCCCTATGTAATCTCAGAAAACCTTCATCACTACTTACTATGCCACCAATTTTGATGTCGTCCACAAACTTACTAACCATGCCTTCTAACATTCTCATCCAAATCATTTATACAAATGACAAACAAAAGAGGACCCAGAACCTGATCCTTTTAAGACCATAAACTGTTTCACCTAGTGAACTCATGATTTGAAAACTTCAATCAAATTTCCCCTTGGCTGTCTCTCGAAGGCAAACATCCCAATTTCACCAGTCTACCTTCATAACTTATGTTTCTCATCTCTGGAACCAATATCATAAATCTCTTCTACTCTGTTCAATGTGTTGACATCCTTCTTTACGAGAGCATTATAAAACAGGATAACAGAATGACCCACAAAAGGAGATACTGTTTTGGGTTGATGACCAAATGCTAATGTTATGAGAAAGTGTCTTAAAGGAGGAAAGCACAATGAGGAGGCAGAGGGGGTTTAGAGAGGACATTCAGAACTTGGGGCCAAAGCAACATCCTCACACCCTGCTTATTGTAAGGACTCTATTCTATTCTTCCAGTTTCTCTGTCTCATCTGTTCTGACAATGCCATCTTCTAGAAGAGGGCCTCAGAAATGTCCACAACTTTTTTCACAGCTGAGGACTCGCCCCTCCTCAGCGGTGATGGAGCGATTAAAATTGGGATGCTCGAGAGGCCAGAACTAAAGGAGTACAGATAACTTAAAAGGTGTTGTAGGAAGGGAGGAGATTACAGAGATAAGGAGAGGCTGTGGAGGGAATTGAAAATGATGAGAATTTTATCATGGAAATATGGCTTGACAGGGAGCCAGTGTAAGTTAGCAAGAGTTAGGACAATGGTGAGTGAAATTTGATGCGAGTTTGGACACAGTTGGCAGAGCTTTAGATAAGTTCAGAGCAGACATGGGAATGGTAAAGATGTGGAAATATGTGGTCTTAGTGATAATTGCAGGTCTCTGGTTAGGGATAGGGAAACCTCAACTTGCAATTAAATGTGATAGCAAGTCTGGTTCAACTTTAGCCAGTCAGTGAGGAGGGATGGTGCAGTGCTCGGAAAATTGTCTTCAGTCCCCATCACAATGATTTTAGTCTTCCCAATTCATATTGTATTATATTCATGAAAAATTAATTATGACCTTTCCACCAAAGTAGAACACACAATTTCAGACCACCAGAAGTTTGCCTCTAACCCACCCGTGATGTGGTGATGGATGAGAATTGCCTGGAATCATTTTGCATTGTGTCACTGTGGAACTTTGCAACGTGCTTAAAATAAAAATCCATTCTGATGAAGAGTCACTGGACTCTCTGCATTAACTCAGCTTTCTTCCCACAGATGCTGCTAGACCTGCTGAGTTTCTCCAGCAATTTCTGTTATTGTTTCAGATCACCAGCATCCGCAGTTCTTTGTTTTATTAAAATATAAATGATGTGCAGATGCCGGAGTTGGACTGGAGTGGTCAAGGTCAAAAACCACATGACACCATGTTATAGTCCAACAGGTTTATTTGAAAACACCTGAAGAAGGAGAGAGACTCCAAAAGCTTGTGTTTTCAAATAAACCTGTTGGACTATAACCTGGTGTTGTGTGGTTTTAATTTCTTTTTTCCTTAGGCCTGAAAAACATCATTAAAACAATAGTGACATATTATTGTAAAACTGATATTCTGCATCTGTTTGTCAGTATATAACTTTGATACCCACACAGTTCTGATTGTTGGAATGATGCCTGATTTGGTTATACCGAAGTGGACTCAGTGGATGGGTTTCTGCATTGAACCCTATCATCCACTAGATGGAAGCAAACCATAATGGCAATAGGACAAGGCAGAAGCTGGAAGACTGGTAATACTCAGCCCAGTTTAACAGTAAAAACAAAAGAATTGTGGATGCTGGCGATCTGAAGGACACACAAACATCCTCACAAGCTGCTTCTTGTTAAGGATTCCATTCCATTCTCCCAGTACCTTTGTCGCATCTGTTCTAATGACACCACCTTCTGCAAGGGGACCTGAGAAATGTCCACTTTTTTCCCCAACTGAGGATTCTCCCTCTACTGTGGTTGACAGGGCCCTCAGCTGTGTCCAACCCATTTCCCACGCTTCTGTCTTCACCCCGTCTCTTCCCTCCCACAACAATGATAGGGTGCCTCCGGTCCACACTCTGGCGGAGGCATGGCATGGGCTGACAAGCCTGGAGGGGGACTGCGGCAGTGAAAAGGAAAGTTGGACTCTGAAGAAGGGTCCTGACCCAAAATGTCAGGTTTCCTGCTCCTCTGATGCTGCCTGGCCTGCTGTGTTCCTCCAGCTCCACACTGTGTTATCTCTGACCCCAGTATCTGCAGTTCTTGTTATCTCTTGGACTCTCTTAAGTTTTTTTTTTCTTATTCTAAGTTAATGTGAATGGCGCCAATTATGTACAGTGAAGGTACACACTTTTCACTGTATTTTTACATTGAATACACATGACAATAAATGATTCGATTCAATTCAATTCAATACCCTCTCCATTTGAAGGACCCCGGTCCACTCCTCCACTCTAGTGGCACCTTCCCATGCAATTGCAGAAGGTGCAACACTTGTCTCATTTACCTCCCTCCTCGCTATCCAAGGCCCCAGACACACCTTCCAGTGACTTACCTGCATTCATTAAATCTAGTCTACTGTATGCTGCTCACAGTATCTTCTACAATGGGGAGACAAAACACAGACTGGGTGAACGCTTTGTGGAACACCTACACACTGCTCTAAAAATGGCCTTGACCTTCCATTTTTCTGCCACTTCAACAGGCCAACATTGGTCTGGCCAACATTTCTGTCTTAGGCCTGCTGCATCTTTCCACAAGTTGGAAGGGCACCACCTTGTCTTCCACTTGGTTAGCTCAGTTGGCTGGATGGCTGGTTTGCAATGTAGAGTAATGTCAACAGCATGGGTTCAATTCCTGAAATGGCTGGGTTTACCACAAAGGACTCTCCTTCTCAACCTATCCCCTGGTCTGAGGCACAACGACCTTCAGATTAAACCACCACCATTCACCTCTCTAATAAGCGAATGGCCCTATGGTCCAGTAGGACTATTGCAACATTATCTGTACCTTTGGGCTGGAAATGTGGGACAATTCTACTGTCAATGACAGCTGTAACATTTGCTGAGTACATTAATGCAGAAAAGACCTGGAAAGATTGCTAGGAAGGAGAGTGGACTTCACTGTAAAAGGAAACACTGAATGGTTAGTTCTATTATACAACACTCTCTTTGATGGAGAAAATGATTGAGAAAACAGTTTCAATCACCAAAAGAGGGGACTATGGGAGCATAATGGTGATGTAATTGAACCAGTAATGCAGAAACTCAGAGTAATGCACTGGGGGTCATAGATTCAAATTCCTACCAGGGCAGATATATCCAGATATAAAAGCTCATCTCCATGACAGTTACAATGAAACTATCAGTGATTGTTGTAAAGTCAATCTGGCTCACTTTGGGAAAGGAAATCTGCTGTTTTTACATGATCTGGCACACAGCTGAATCCAAACCCACAGCAATGTGGCTAACTCGAACGATCCTCGGAAATGGCCCTAGTAAGCCTCTCAGTTCAAGGGCAATTAGGAATGGGCAACAAATGCTGCCCTACCTAGCAACATCCATATCCCATGAAAGAATTAAAACATGTTTCTGCATGTTAGACAACAAGGTGCAGGGCTGGATGAACACAGCAGGCCAAGCAGCATCAGAGGAGCAGAGAGGCTGATGTTTCGGGCCTAGACCCTTCATCAGAAAAGGGGGAGGGGAAGGGGGTTTTGAAATAAATAGGGAGAGAGTGGGAGGCGGATAGAAGAGGGATAGAGGAGAGGATAGGTGGAGAGGAAACAAACAGGTCGAAGAGGCGGTGATGGAGCCAGTAAAGGTGAGTGTAGGTAGGGAGTTAGGAAGGGGATAGGTCAGTCCAGGGAGGACGGACAGGTCAAGGGGGCGGGATGAGGTTGGTCGGTAGGAGATGGAGGTGCGGCTTGAGGTGGGAGGAGGGGATAGGTGGGAGGAAGAACAGGTTAGGGAGGCAGGGACGAGCTGGACTGGTTTTGGGATGCGGTAGGGGGAGGGGAGATTTTGAAACTTGTGAAATCCACATTGATACCATTGGGCTGCAGGGTTCCCAAGCTGAATATGAGTTGCTGTTCCTGCAACCTTCGGGTGGCATCGTTGTGGCACTGCAGGAGGCCCAGGATGGACATGTCGTCTGAGGAATGGGAGGGGGAGTTGAAATGGTTCGCGACTGGGAGGTGCAGTTGTTTATTGCGAACCGAGCGTAGGTGTTCTGCAAAGCGGTCCCCGAGTCTCCGCTTGGTTTCCCCGATGTAGAGGAAGCCACACCGGGTACAGCGGATGCAGTATACCACATTGGCAGATGTGCAGGTGATCATCTGCTTGATGTGGAAAGTCTTCTTGGGGCCTGGGATGGGGGTGAGGGAGGAGGTATGGGGGCAGGTGTAGCACTTCCTGCGGTTGCAGGGAAAAGTGCCTATGTTTCTGCATGTTGTCCCTTTTGCTAATGTCTTCAATCAACACTTCTGTCATCAAAAACAATTTCATTTTATTTATTCCATTGAAATCATTAATGATTTTGAATACCTCTACTGAATCAATGTTTAACTTATGTGCTCTTAGGAATGTAACCCCAGCCGAATCAGCCATGATCCTGCTGAATGGCGGAGCAGGCAGAGGGGCTGAATGGCCAACTCCTGCTCCTATTTCTTATGGTCTTCTCCAGACTCCACCTTAGATCTAAGATTTTATCTGGCATGCATCCTAATTCCCCTCATTTTTAAGGTATTGAGATGTTCCTTTGCATGGGTGATATTGCCTAGCTGGCGAAATCGCTCGCAGATTCAATCATAGATTCAGTACACTGTAAGAAATTAATTAGGTTTACCAGTGGGAGACGTGCTCCCCTAAATACGATGGCTTTCCATGGTTCAAAATCTCAAAAGGTATTGGTTTCACCTGTAGACTCACATATCTGTTTGTCCTGATGACCATAGTGAGACGCAGTGAAGGGAATCCTCAACTTGCAAAAAAGCAAAATCCTGAGCCTGGACATATAAAAGATGTCCAAACAATTGTCTTTCATGCTTCAAAACACTTGGGCATGCAACAGAAGGGCTGTCTGTCGATTGATTCAGGATATGTAAAAAGAAGTTTTCCTTTTGAACTTACCCCAACATAGAACTGGCCTGTCAGTGATTACATCAGAGTGTACGCACTGTGGGTTCAAGTCTCAGTCTAGGCTGACAATGATGCTGTCTTTCAGCTGAGGTGTTAAAGCAAGATCCTGTTGCCCTCTCAGGTGGATGGAAAAGATGTTGTGATATTATTTTGAAGATGATCATATATATCCCTCAGTCAGCATCATTAAACGGAATATCTGATTATCACCTTTGCTGTTTATGGGAGCTACAGTGTTTCCTAAATTAGAACAGTGAGTACACTTCAAAAATAGTTCATTGGTTCTGAGGTAATTTGAGATGCTTGTGATGGGTCTGTGAGATGTATTCTCAGTACCAATGCCTGGAAAAATGGTGCTGCTGCATAAAGCAGGTGGTGGGATGGGTGTGCACTCATAGACAAGGCAATTTAAGAAGCCTTTGCATATTAGATGCAGCTAACAATATTGATAAATAATAGGCATGAGAGTCTTAGCAGCCCTCTTGTTGCACAGAAGTAGTGTCCCTACCCCTGGACTGGGAGGCCTGGGTTCAAGTACCACCTGCTCCAGAAGTAACATCTCTGAACAGGTTGCTTAGGAGAAACAGGTAGATATGAAAGTGAAAAGAAGCCTGTCCCACACCATTCCTTGTTCCTCCCCATTGCCAACTGCTCTCCCACATCTCAAACCTCTTCCAAATACACACAACCGTATTGACAAAAATCAAATCCACTGTTCACTCAGTCCCATCTCCCTCAATCTCAGCACAACCCTCACACAGCCCCAGCCACACCTCCACCCAGGCCCGACCCTTCATTCCAAACCTCTGACCTCTCATCGAATCCACTTCCTCACTCACAGACCCGCCTTCCTTCACCCCGAGCCCCTCCGCCTCACTCCCAGCTCCTCCTCCTCCACCCCCAGCCCCTCCTCCTCACCCCAGCCCCCCCCCCTCCCTCCCAGCTCCTCCTCCTCCCCCCCCAGCCCCTCCTCCTCACCCCCAGCCCCTCCTCCTCAACCCAGCCCCACCCCTTCAACCCCAGCCCCACCCCCTCACTCCCAGCTCCTCCTCCTCCACCCCCAGCCCCTCCTCCTCACCTCAGCCCCACCCCTTCACTCCCAGCTCCTCCTCCTCACCCCCCAGCCCCTCCTCCTCACCCCCCAGCCCCTCCTCCTCACCCCCCAGCCCCTCCTCCTCCACCCCCCAGCTCCGCCCCCCCTCTCGGCGCGGGGGGCAGTCGGAAGTAGCGGTTGGTCGGTTCTATGAGGGTAGGGAGAGGGCGAGAGTTCTCAGTGACCCCGCGGATCCTGAGCGCAGAGACAGAGAGAGTGTGACAGCCGTTTTATGTGAGCCCCGGGAGAAACCGGGCTCTGCCGCCGTCTCCGCAGTGACTGACTGAGTGCCGTGTCCATGGAGCCGGAGCGGCTGCCGGGCCGGGCGGCAGAGGGGCCGGAGGGGGAGGAGGCCGCTGCTGCCGCTCCTCTGCTGCCGGGTCTGGGCCCATGAGTACGAGCGGAGGCCGCGGCGGCGCGGTTGCTATGGAGCCCCTGGAGGCCTTGTTCAGCCCCGATGTGGGAGTCGGTGATGGCCCCGGGCCCGGCTCCTTCTGGACGGCGGTGTTCGACTACGAGGCGAGCGCCGAGGACGAGCTGAGCCTGAGGCGGGGGGAGCGGCTGGAGGTGCTGTCGACGGACGCCAAGGTGTCGGGCGATGACGGCTGGTGGACGGGAAAGATCGGCGAGAGGGTCGGCATCTTCCCGGCCAACTACGTGACCCGGCAGCCGGCCCGGAGCCGAGCCCCGGCGGCTGAGCTGTCGGGACAGGCCGGGGGGGCCCAGCAAGCGGCCGCCACCGAGATCGAGTTTAGCCAGCTGACCCTGCAGGAGATCATCGGGGTCGGCGGCTTCGGCAAGGTGTACCGGGGCACCTGGAAGGGGCAGCCCGTGGCCGTCAAAGCCGCCCGCCGGGACCCCGACGAGGAGGCGGGCGCTACGGCCGAGAGCGCCCGCCGTGAGGCCCGGCTCTTCGCCATGCTCCAGCACCGTAACATCATCGCCCTGCGGGGCGTCTGCCTGCAGGAGCCCAACCTCTGCCTGGTCATGGAGTACGCGCAGGGTGGGCCCCTCAACCGGGCCCTGGCCGGGCGCCGCATCCCACCCAGCACCCTCGTCAACTGGGCCGTGCAGATCGCCCGCGGCATGTGCTACCTGCACGCCGAGGCCATCGTGCCGATCATCCACCGGGACCTGAAGTCCAGCAACAGTGAGTAGCTGGGAACAGTGCGGGAGGGGGCACAGTTGCAGAATGGGGGTCCTTGACCTGTGCCCCGGGCGCGGGGATGCCACGGGTGCCCTGTACGCTGAGTCATGGAGGATCCTGTGCTATTTGGTGCTCTGGGGGGCCTTGTGCCCTGGACGCAGTGTCCCCTAAATGTCACCGCAAAGGAATAGTCCTGGTCTGGGCACATCGTGTGGGGTCATGCTTGGACTGTTTGTTCATGTCATTGCTGTGCACGTCTGGGACTCATTTGGTATTTTGGTCATGTGTCAGAGCGAAGGAAGATATTGAGAGTTATGGATGATATGCAGGATGTAGTCAGGCTGTTAAAGCTATAATGATGGAAAGTGGAGGTGCATTTGATGAGTTCGAACTAATAATTGTTGCAGGTTATTTTGCATTAACAAGAAATACCTATCGTGCGTATTTGGATTTGAGCCACAGTAGAATTCTAAACTTGCATACGGAAATCAATATTGTATATAGAGTTATACGTGTGATCATTGGCGTCACTGTGGTTTTAGTGTTGTAGATGTGTGTGTATTCTATATATTATGTATAATATTGTTATTAATGGTTCGGTGCCCTGTTTATAAAGCCACAGTTGTTTTCTGTTATAATTGGGATAGTGGGCAATGATTTTTTTTTTAAAAAACTCGGTCTATTACGCTCCACCTGAGCTTACCTGCCTAATTCTGTCTCCCAACAAGCTTCGTTTGCTTGTCCGATTTCTTGTCTTGTTGTCCAATGTTAGTTTCTAATATAAATGACGTTTCCTGCCAATCATCTGTCGCTGAAAGCCTCATCCACATGCTACTTAGCTCCACAAATTCGTTTCATTGCTCTCCTTTTCAACCTCCCATCTTCTACCACTGACTTGAGCTCAGTAAAATTCTGCCAGCTCTATTTTACATGCATCACACCTTCTTTGACCCCTGTGGTCACTGACGTACGTTGGACCCCAAGTCCCCCAAAAGCTTCAGTTTAAAATGCTTTGATGTCCTGTTGAAATCTCCATGGCCTCTCCTTCTCCCTCCTCTGATGTTGAAGAAGGCCTGTGTTTCTCTGACTCTGACCATTGTCAGTCCTGCGCCCTGCACACCACAATTAGCTGTCTTGCCATCATGTGACTCTGCCATCAGTCCTGAAATCCTTCTCCATGTCTTTGCACATCTTCCATTCTCATGTTTTGACACTCCTGAAAACATACAGATTTGTGATCAAGCTTATAGTCACTCTTCTGATATTACTTTCTTTGACTCAACATCAGTTTTGTTTGATTACGTTTCCTTGGAACTTTTTAATGATATTAAAGGCATTGCATAAATGCAATTTGTTTTTGATCTGATTTGTACATGTTCAAAGTTTTTCCATGAGTTGCCTATAAATGTGTAATTTTCTATTTTGCCTCTATCCAGAATGATTTATATACTGATTTATGATTCTGCTCTAATCTCATGTACGTTAGTTCTCCGGTGTCATTAATGCATGTGTTTCTCCCCATGACAGTGCATTGCTTTGAACTGCTACAGTGTTGTTACTGGTACTCTGTTGTCTTAATCTGTTTCGTAACGTACCTATTATAATTATCATCGATCTCTGAGATTCCACTCAAATATTTTAAAATGAGGTGAGTTGGCAGCAATATTAATTGTTAAGGTTGAAGGTACCTAGTGGCGAAATATGCTTGGTAGTATCATGAAACTCAAGCAAACAATAAAGCAGATTTTTTAAAAATTCAGCAAGTAGGCAGCACATTCAGGAAAGAACATGGTTAAGATAATCTGTATCAGGTGAATAAGCTGTGCTGCTGGGGAGAGCTGACCTACCAGGAGACTTTCACTTAGATAATTGGTGAGTAGTGTGTTAAGAGTAAAGGTCAATCTTTGGAGATATGTTTGCGACTGAAATAATGAGAAATCTAAATGTTATCATCAGGCAATCTTACAAGATTCTAGCTTTGAAAGTAAGGAAGAAACAGGATAGTGGATAGAATTAGGGTAAGACCATGAGACCATCAAGAATCTATCTGAGCCTTAAATATACACAATGACTCTGCCCCACAGTTGCCTGTGGCAAGGAGTTCCAAAGACAGTCAGCCCTTTGAGAGAAGAGATTCCTTCTCATCTCGGTCTTCAATTGGCACCTCTTTATTCTGAAACAAAAACGGAAACTGCTGGAGAAACTCTGCAGGTCTAGCAGCATCTGTGGGAAGGAAGCAGAGTTAATGTTTCAAGTCTGAAACTCTTCAACAGTCACTGAATTTGAATTTTAACTCTGTTTCCTCCCACAGATGCTACGAGACCTGCTGAGTTGCTCCATTAATTTTTGTTTTTGTCTTAGTTTCAGATCTCCAGCATCCGCAGTTCTCTATTTTTCCCTTTATTCTGAAACTGAAAGAGAGAGATTGGTGCCACAGCAGTACCACTGGCCTATTACATTCCATTGGAGATTTTAATATATACCTTTTAGAAATCTATTACATTTCCATTGTGATTTGAAGCTAGGTAGATTGAGGCGTTGCCTGAAAAGTAGTGTGTGGTTTTGAAGTGTGTTTAGTACCTCTGCATTTATTTTGTCAGTGCCTGACTTCTGCTTTGTACTTGTGTTAGAAAACCTAAGCCATCTGTTAGCTGGATTAGACCTAATAATTACCACCCCTCCCCCAGCTCCATTACATGGATTCTAAAATTGCAAGGAAACCCAATTTCTGAATCAGAACCATTAACACGCCAGGCTGCAGTTTTAAAGAGAGAGGCCAGCTGATGGACAGAGTCAATGTTGAATGCATGTACTACAAGTGTACAGTTGACAGAAGTCTCGTAGGGGAGAGATGATGCTGAGGCTGCAGCTAACAATGCACATCAATTGCTCAAGTTGCTGATGACACAGACACGAGTAGGAACATAAGTTCGGGAATCTGCAAAGGGGCACAGAAGTTAAGTCAATGGGAAAAATTGAGGCATATGGTCTATAATGTGGGAAACTGTGCATTTGTCTGTTTTCACAGGAAGAATAAAGACATTATTATTTAAATGGACAGAGATTGCAGAATTCTAAGGTGCACACAGATCTGGTTGTACTGATGCAAGTTTGTACTGATCACAAAGTTACTAGCAGCTACAGCAAGTGATAAAGAAGGCAAATGGAATGTTGTCCTTTGCAAAGAAACGTTTTGCTGAATTTGTAGAGTTGTTGAAACTACATCTGGAGTACTGTATACAGTTTGTTCTCCTTTCTTAAGGAAAGGTTGTAATTGCACCAGAAGTTCAGAGAAGGTTCACTTAACTGATTCCTGGGGTGAGGTGTTATCCTATGAGGAAAAGTTGGAAATATGTCAGAAATGACAACCAGACTCCTTAGACCACATGGGATCATGATTGCACACAAACCTACATCAACACTGTGTCAAATGCTATCAAAGACTGAAGACCCCATAGTGACGGTAAACAGGACTAAGGTGATATACAGAATCCTGTGCAGAGTGTGCAATAGACATTACATTGGACAAGCGGGGAGGCAACTGACGACCAGGATACACCAACACTAGCTAGCAGTAAAAAGACACGACCAATAATCAATTGTCTCAATACACACAGCCAGTGAAGGGTATCTGTTTGACTGGGACAAGCGTATAACAGACATGCAAGGGAATTCCTGGAGGACTGGTTCTCAACATGGGACTCCATTAACACATACACAGAAATAGACCCCGTGTACAGACCACTGCTGAAAAACAGAACTGGAGGCGACAAGACCCACCACATCAGAGGATCATATAAATTCGGAAGGGACCAGAACTCCAATGCTTCGATTAGAGGTCGCACGGATGATGTTGCCTAGAATGGTAATGGTAATGCGCATCACGGAACAACTGACTTGGCGAGTAAACGAACAACTGCAAAGTTGGGCCTGTATCCATTAAAGGTATAAGCCAGTATGGGACGATCTTAGTGAAACTGAGGTTGCCAAAGGGACTTGACCGGGTGGATGCTGAAAGGATGTTAACCCCTCTAGAAAGGAAAAACCGTTTAAAAATAGAGAGAAATCTTTTCTCTTAGGATTGAGAGTCTGTGAAATTCTCTTCCACAGAGCACAGTTGGGGCAGGGTCATTGAATATTTTTAAGAAAGAGTTAGGTAGATTCTGCCTGACAAAGGAGTCAAAGAGTATCAGGTTGGGTGGCAGTTTGGAGTTGAAGCCTCAATCAGATCTGCCATGATTTAACTGAATAATGAAGTAAATGGTTGGATGTATGGAACTTCTCTTAACATTATAATTTAGCATGGCAGCTGAATAATGTTTTTATAGTATTGCAGATATAGAGGTTCCACGTTGAACTAGCTGTGTCATCCTTTACCCTTCAGCTGGTGACTTGTTTGAATCCTGGTTATCTACCCTTCTTCCATATTGCTTCAACTTCCTTTCCTTCCTCCATTCCTCCAGTCTAATAGGGTCATATAGTATGGAAATAGACCCTTTGGTCCAATTCATCCATGTTAACTAGAAATTCGAAACTGATCCCATCTCATTTGCCAGCATTTGGCCCTTATCCCTCTTAAACCCTTCCTATTCACGTACCTATCCAGATGCCTTTTAAATGTTGTAATTCTACTAGCCTCCACCATAATTGTACTAGCCTCCACCAGGGGGAGGCAATGGCCGAGTGATATTTTTGCTGGACTGTTAATCCGGAGATGGTTCGAATCCCACCACGGCAAATGGTGGAATTTGAATTCAACAAAATATATCTGGAAGTAACAGTCTAATGATGACCATGAATCCATTGTCGATTGTCAGAAAAACCCATCTGGTTCACTCATGTCCTTAAGGATGGCAGTTTCCTTCCCTAACCTGGTCTGGCCTACATGTGACTCCAGACCTGCAGCAATGTGGTTGACTCTGAACTGCACTCTAGGCATTTATGGATGGATAATAAATGCTGCCTAGCCAGCAATGTCCTCATCCCATTAATGAATAAAGAAA